GGGGGGTGGCTGAGCCTCAGCCAGCTTCTCCCACCCCCCCCCAGGTCCTGGGGTCAGGTGGGTGCCTTTCCTTCCTCGTTGTGCCTTTGGCCTTGGGCAGTGGAGCTGCTGGGTCTTTTGAGAAAGGGTCTGGACCTCACTCCGAATCCTGGGTGGCGTTGGGGCGGGGGGGCCGTCTGATGTGGGAGCCCCAGGTAGCACCCCCAGGGTGTCAGCGGCCCTAAGTGCAGCCCAGAGGACCAGGGTGGGGACTGAGTGAGCCAGGCACAGGACGGCCTCTGCTCTGCTCCACATGGGAAGCCGATGCCCCGTAGGCGAAGGTAGAGGGTCCCCTGCAGTTGGTTTGGGGGCTGCAGCGGAGAGCCGGGCTGAGCTGTTGCTGTTGTGCCCTAGTTGCTGACGGTGCACGGCCGCACCAAAGAGCAAAAGGGGCCCCTGTCCGGCAGCGCGTCCTGGGAACACATCAAGGCTGTGCGGTGAGTGGGCCCTGGGGGAAACCGGGGACCGGGGGCGTTACCGTCTGGCCCCAGGGCAGGGCACTCAGCCCTTTGAGTGTAGGGTTGGGGTGGGGAGGCTGGGGGCAGGGGGAAGGGAGAGGCCCTGCCTGGATGGAGTCTGACGGGTGGGGATGGGCCAGCATCCTCTTCTGAGTGTCTGCCCATCCTACTCCCAACAGGAAGGCGGTGGCCATCCCTGTGTTTGCCAACGGGAACATCCAGTGTCTGCGGGATGTGGAGCGCTGCCTCCAGGACACGGGGGTACAGGGGGTCATGAGTGCAGGTGAGGGTGCACCCTTGCCCATGGAGGGACCCATCCGCGTTGTGGGGCCACTGGCCCAGCTGAATGGCCTCAGGCTCATGCTGCCCGCACTGAGGGGCCCCGCCTGCTTGACAGGCCAGAGCTTTCAGGCCAGTGGCTGGCCTTGCCCTGGCAGGGGGTGAGGCAGGGGGCGCATCCCTCTGGGGTGTGAGCCCCTGAGCCTCGAGCCCCCTTCCCCTACAGAGGGAAACCTGCACAACCCTGCCCTGTTTGAGGGCCGCAGCCCCGCCGTCTGGGAGCTGGCCGAGGAGTACCTGGACATTGTGCGCCAGCACCCCTGCCCCCTATCCTACGTCCGTGCCCACCTCTTCAAGCTGTGGCACCACACGTGAGTTGCCCCCCAGAGCAAAAGTTGTCTGGTCTGAGCCCTGCCTGGGCACTGAGGGTTTTAAGACGGACTCAGGTCTGGGGGGGCCGCAGTGATGGAGCGGGGCAGGAGGCAGGGGGCCTGAGTCAGAGGAGAGACTGGCCTCTGTGCCCAGTGCTCGGTGGCTCTGATGGGCCGTGTGTCTCAGGCTGCAGGTGCATCAGCAGCTTCGTGAGGAGCTAGCCAAGGTGAAGACCCTGGAGGGCGTTGTGGCGGTGAGCCGGGAGCTGAGGCTGCGGTGTCAGGTGGGTGCCGCAGTGGTGTGGTGCCGGGCGGTGGGAGAGGGGCTGGGGCCTGGGGCCTCTGACCATGGGCCCTCTGGGGTTTTGCAGGAGGATATGTCCAGGCAGAAGGAGGGAGAGAAGCCTTCGGGCAGCTTGCCTTTCTCTCACTGGATCTGCCAGCCCTATTTCCGGCCAGGGTGAGCCTCTTGCATGTGGGCTGGGGGGCGAGGGGGGCCAGCTCCATCCCTCAGGGACCAGGCTTGTTGGGGGCGGCACGGGGCGGGCTCTCCCTTGTCAGCCTGTGCTTAGGTTTTAAATCATTTCTTTTTGTAAGCTGCTTTTCTGAGCTCCTCTGATCCTGGGTGAATTTGTCCTGGCATCAGGAGGTGACCCTCCTGGGCTTCCTCTGGGTTGTCATCTGTAGCCACAGCCCTGTTCAGTGGCTCAGACCCTGGTGCCCCACCGTGTCCCAGTCTCTGTGCCAGCCACTGGGGCCCAGCCCCGGCTTGGGCTGCCTGAACCGAGCCCCAGAGGAGCCCTGGGGCTGCAGCGGGCCGGCTGCCTCTCATGGGCATTCCCCAGCTCCACCCGCTGCCCCTTCTTTCCAGGCCCAGGGAGGGGAGCAAGGAAGGTGGGGCTGCCCGCAGCAAGCGGGCCCTGGAGGAAGAGGAGGGCAGCACGGACGTCCTGTCCAAGAATAAGCAGAAGAAGCAGCTGAGGAACCCCCACAAGACCTTCGACCCCTCACTGAAGCGTAAGCTGCTGCCACTGCTGGAGTCTGGGGAGGAGGCTGCCCACCCCCCTGGGGGGCCCCCAGGACAGGTGCTCTGATACTAAGAGCAGGAAGGGCCCTGCGACCTGTCCACAAGCCCCCAAGGAGGCTGTTGGGTCCCAGGAGGCCCCAGCCAGCAGCCCTGCCTGCCATCTTCCCTCAGGGCTGCCATCCCAAGAAGGTCCTTCCAGCGGGAGGCGTCTGTGGTGGGCATAGAGCCCGAAGACCATTGGGTGGGTGGGAGGAGGTTTCCCAGCAGGACCATACGCGCCGCGTCCTCTGCCCTCCCAGAGCCGCCCAGCCAGTGAGCGGGGACAGTCCCTGGGGGCTCTGTGGGGGAGATGGCCATGGTGGGTGGGCCTGCCTTCTTCAACTAGCACCTCTTTTTGTTCTTTTCCCAGCAAAATATGCCAAGTGTGATCAGTGTGGAAACCCAAAGGTGAGGCCTGGCCCAGGGCAGAGCTCAGCCCCTGGAGGGGCGGGCACCTGGGCGAGCGCCCTTTTCCTGGCTGGGAGGGGCTTCTTCCCTGTGAGGCTGGCGCTGCCCAGCCTAGGACAGCCCCTCCTGTGCTCCTGGCCGGCCCTGGCCACTCGCTGAGGCTCCAGGGCGGCCAGGGAAGGGCACCAGCCCCAGGCTCACAGGCTTTCCTCCTTCCAGGGCAGCAGGTGTGTGTTTAACCTCTGCCGCGGCTGCTGCAAGAAGCGAGCTTTCCGAGAGACTGCTGACTGCCCAGGTGAGGGTACCTGCTGCCCTCGGCACCCCTACCCTTGCCGGGCAGTTGGCCCTGCACCCTCCTAAGCTGTTTTCCTCCTCTTACCCCTCTGCCAGGTCATGGGCTGCTCTTTAAAACCAAACTGGAGAAGGCCCTGGCCTGGAAGGGGGCACGGCCCCAGCTGCAGGAAGCTCAGCAGGCAGGGCCTGGGGAAGCAGGTGGCTTTCCTGAGGTCGTGGGCAGTGCCCTGGCCTGAAGGGCAGCTGCAGCCCCCGTGCCACCCACCAGGCCTCAGGCCCGCTGCCGAAGCCGCGGCACATCCTGCTCAAGGAAATGCCTTTACTCAGGGAACCTCCTGCTATTTCACGTGGAAGCTCAAGCTGGTCCCCCTTGGCCCAGGCTGAGGGCCCGGAGGTGCTACACCAGGGAGCAGGCTCCCAGGCAGAACTGGCCCGTCCTCGCGACTCCCGTGTGTTCACATGGACAATAAATCACTTCAAAGTTGGGCGTGCAGAGAGCTGGCCTGCAGCCTTCCCAGGTCATCCAGACCTGGGTGGAGTCGGGGCCAGCAGGATGGGGGAAGGGTAGCAGCGTCCCACCTGAAGGGTCACACACTGGTGCAGCCCCGCACAGCCACGTGGAGGAGGCTCAGCTCCCTCCTGCCACCCGCATGGTGCCTGAATGTGCGGAGGGGGAGCCCAAGGGACTGGGGCCTGGGCCAGAGGACCCCACGGAGACAAGAAGAAGTGGTGCGGGGTGTTCTCAGGCTGCCCTTTAATGGACTGAGATTCAACAACTGTAGCCCCAGACGACACACCAACATGGGGGCTGGGCGGTGTGCTGCCGGGTGGGGCCCTGAGTGCCACAGGGGTGAGCCCTGCAGGCCCCCCTTCCAGCAAAGCCCACCTCTGCCCCAGGGCCCCCGGCACAGGGTGCAGCAAGGGGGAGGGAAGGGGCCGAGGGCTGCATCATCCAGCAGCCAGGTCCCACAAGAGGCCACAGTCGATGCCTCCAGACGTGCTGCGGGAGCAGGTGGGAGGCCTGGAGCAGGTGGGGCGAGGCGTCCTGGAGGCCACCGGGGGTCCTCACATGTTGGTGCTCATGCGGGACTGGCTGTTGGCCGGTGTCAGCTCCCCCTGGCTCCCTTCTCGGGGAGGGGACTGTGGTGGAGACAGCCACTCAGCCCTGAGGCGCACACACGGTCCCCATCCCTCTCCCTGGGACCCCTGCCCGCACCTTGACATGGATCTGGTTGCGCAGCACGGCCGCCCGCAGGATCATGGCCTTGGCGCGGCGCTGGAACTCCTTGCCCATCAGCAGAGACTTCTCAAAGGTGGTGCTGCGCTGGTCCACGTCACGGGCGTACAGGATCTGGGGAGGGACAGGGCTCAGTAGGGCCCGGGGCCCCCTCATGGCACCCCCACCGGGGGCGGCCTGGCTACCTTGCTGTGGGAGTCGATGCGGGCGTTGATGAGCCCCTCCAGGATGAGCTGCGTCAGCTCGTCCTCCAGTGCCGCCACTGTGGTGTTGAAGGCTGTGGCCATCTTGCGCATGTCTGCCGACACGTAGGGGCTGAAATACTGTGGAGCGGAGGGGACGTGAGCTGCCCAGTTTCCAGTGCACCCGCGGCGCCCAGCCTCGGCCCCTATCCCCTTGTTCACCTGGATGAGGGCCCGGTTGCGAATCTGAGTGTACAGGGTCCTGACATGGGGGGCCAGGTACATGTCCAGGAGTAGGTTGTCCTGGTGAGGAAAGCTGGTCAGGGACGGCGGCCCCGGGACCTCTGCACCGCCCTCCAGGCCGGGCCATGCCCCTCACCTTCATCTCATCAAGCATCTTCAGGCACGAGGCATACTTGGACTCATAGAATTTGAAGATGATGTCCCGAACCTGTGGCTCCAGCTCCAAGAACAGCTTGAAAGAACTACAGATTGGACAGACTCCTCAGAACAGCCCCACTCACCCCCTGCCCACCCTGAAGGTGGGTGGGCACAGGGCTGGAGAAAGGGCCTAGCAACACACACCCCCCCCGCCACCCACCTGCTGGAGATGACATTGCGCTGCAGCTCCTGACGGTCAAAGGTGGCCAAAGCACACAGGCCGCCATAGACGGCCACGTTGCTTGGAGAGAGCAGCTGAGGGGCAAGCAGGGAGGTGGGTGCAGAGACCCCAGGTCACAGGCAGGCAGGACAGAAGTCTGGATTGGGTCCCCCCACCCTACCCACTTACAGGACACCTGGGACCCACCCTGTGCAGGAGACACCCCAGCAGAGAGCCCTCACTCTGCTTTTTCAGCCACAGCAAAGGCTCCTCCCTGGAGACCCTCACCTCTGGGAAGTCGCAGTGATCAAAGGAAGCCAGCAGGAAGCACTTGGCAGCCTGTTTGTACTTGCGTGCAGCCAACTCCGCCAGGCCTGGGGATGGGGTGGGGGTAGGATGAAGCCCAGCACCAGGATGAAGGGGCCAGGGTGGCCTAGACCAGACGACCCTCAGCGTCAGGGACAGAAATGCAGGCTCGTGAGAAATGAGACCACGGGAACACCAGCGACACTCTGGACCAGGTGCCCTGGGAGTCTGGGTAGCTGCTGTTCCCACTGCAGAGGTCTGGTGGGCTGATATGCCCGGGGGCTGGGGGGCTGAGGGGTGGACATGGGACACGGACGGGACCGCCTTGGCAGCAGCTGTCAAAAAACCACACTGCCACTCCCAACCACAGGTCACACACTAGTCTCCCCATGCAGGACCTGAGCTGGACAGTGACATAGGTGACACAGGTGTGGGGGCCAGGCGCTTCCCCAGCTGGGACAGGGTCTGCTGTGGTGCCCTCACCTGCCGCACACTTGAGCTTGGTGAGGATGGCCTGAGTCTGGGTATCTCGCTCCCCACGCTGCTGCAAGGGTAGGGGGTACACATGAGCAACCCTGGTCCCAGCCTCAGTCTATGAGGACAGAAGGGCGACTCCGGGAGGATGAGGGCCACTGGGGACAGAGTCTGAGGGGCACAGAGCCAGTGTTACCTCGGCAATTTCCGGGGTGGACTCGGCCTTGCTGACGTAGCTCAGCACATGAGACCAATTCTGCAAGTAGACACTGACCTGCGGGTGGGATGGACTCAGCCTGGGGCACCCGACCCTGGCCCACCGACAGTGCCGCCCTGCGGCCCCGCTCAGAGCATCCATCCCAGGGCCCACCTTGATGACGTTGAGGCACATGTTAATGACATGCTTGGCGCTGGTGCAGTAGTCCCGGGCCCGGGAGTAACACTTGAGGGCGTTGCTGAGGTCCCCACAGTCCAGATAGTGGTCACCCAGGTCATCGTGGCCGCGCCTGTGGGTCCGGCCACAAGTGACGCTGGTGGGGCCTGGGCCTGGCTGCTCCCCCAACGAAGGAGCACCTGGCGCCCTCAGTGGGCCCCTCCGCTACCCCGCGCACCTGACGCTCTCCTTGAAGAAACTACCCCCACCTCTGCCCCTCGCACGCCTGGGCCTGGCTGCCCCCACCTCCGAAGGTGCACCTGGCGCCCTCAGTGGGCCCCTCCGCTACCCCGCGCACCTGATGCTCTCCTTGATAGAGTTGCCCTTGTAGTTCTTCAGGTCAGTGTCCAGTTTCTCCAGCTTCAGCAAGGCCTTCTTCCTGGTGGCCTCCACCCAGGCCGTGTCCAGGGGCGGGGGCTCCACACCACTCTCTGGGATGGCGTCGGGTGTGTTCTGCAGCTCCCTAAGGGAGGACCTGGCCATCAAGGGCCCACGTGCAGGAAGGCGGGTGCTCCCAGCAGCCCTCACCCCTACCAGGAGAGCGCCCAGTTGGCACAGGGGCAGTCCCAACCACAGGAGCCTGCAGCCTGGTGGGGAAGCCCAGCGGGAAACGGGCCCTGTGGCCGTGCTGAGAAGGAATCACATTGTCTTCTCCACTGGCTCTGTTCAGTGTCAGAACTGCACACACATAGGTGTGCAAAAACAGCCCAGGATGACATGGAGAGAGCCTGAATTCTCAGCTGGGAGAGTGAGAATCTAGCCCAATGGGCCATTTACTGCCCCTCCTGGCTTTTCAACAAGAAAGCCCTCTCACTGTGTCGTGGGATCAGGCGCTGCAGGAGCAGAGGAAGGGCGCCTGCCCAGACTGGCCCCGATGGAGACACACCACACCCAGCCCCTAGTGCCTGCGCCCCTGCCTGTCTTGCGGAGCCCCAGCCTCACCTGGCAGCCTCTGAGAGCTTGCGGTGGATCTCCTCATACATGTCCACGTTGAAAGTCCTCTGCACGAAGGAGAGGGCCATCTTCAGGGCCTCCACCCGCAGCGGGGGGCAGTGGTCAGCAATGAACTGCAAGCGCTCAATGCGCATCAGGCCGCTGTAGCTGGCCGCGTACTGCTCCAGGTCCTGGGGGTGGGGGGATGGTGCAAGCTGGGACCCCAGACCCCAAGCCCTGGCCAGTGAGTCAGGAGCAAGGACCTGAATGCTAACCCTTCCGTGTCTCGAGAGACTCTGCACCCACTATGGGAACAACTAGGCACGTGGGCACCAAATAAACCACTGTCTAGGTGCCGAGAGGCCACTCAAGGTGGGCCAGTGCAAGGGCCTCGAGTGGAGCGCCACCCAGGGGTGAGTGGCCAGAGCCACACAGGCGCCGGCCCATAACTGCCAATTATGAAGCTGAGCAGCAAGGAGATGGTGCTTCCCAGGCTAGGCCGCGAGGAAGGCCTGCCCTGGTGGTGAAACTCCACCTGCGGGGCGGCCTGGCACACAGGGCTCCTCCAGGGCAGAGAAGCAGGTGCAGACTCTGGAGCTGACTAGGAACCCATCATGAGACCTAAAGGTTCTGGGTCAGGAAAAGCCATGGTCAGAGTTGGGAGCCTAGCCTGGACCTCCCAGCAGGACACACCCCAACAACCTCCCCCCCAGCACCTGCCAGGCTCCGTACCAAGGTGGGGTTCTCCACCACGTAGTTGACATCGGGCGCGTTCTGCGGGTCCTCCTGGGGGTCCACGTCAATCTGCATGGGCTCCACTGCCCCCTGCAACACAGGCCAGCACCTTGGCACCTCGAGCAGGGGTCGCCCAGAGAGGGCAAGAGACCCTCAGTGTGCCCCAGCTCAGCCCGGCTGCCATCTCCCGGGTGGGCGGGCTCCTGTCCCCCAAGCCCCTCCGCACCCCCCACCACATCCAGCGCGGCCACATAAGGGGAGCCTCCTAGCAAGCCTGGCGGCTCAGGAGCTGAACCCTAGGCCGGACTGCGACGGCCCATCTCCGGGGCTGGAAGCAGACGCCGGAGGACCGCTACCCAGGGACCCCCGAGGGTCCCTACGCGTTCCCAGCCGCTATCCTGACGCAGC